ATATATGGGTTGGCATGGGTACGGTTTGACTGTAATTCAACCCAACTAGCTGACTGCTTCTTACTGTCTTGAATAATATATCATAAAGGGAAATTTATATATCATAAAATATATAATTTTCATATCTTAAAAAATATACATGGCTTTCTTTAAAAGCTTTTAAGATTTTGTTTTATTATGTGAATTTTATTAAAAGGTCTTGTTATTGTTATCCATTTGTTATTGTATTTTGCTATCAATCAAATATATCAATGTGGCTACCGGTATATTTATTTATATTTTACCCTTGCACTTCTACTGTTTTTACTTCTCCATTAAGGTTTTATTGAATAAAATTGAAAAACTGAAATAACAAAAAACACTGAAATAAATCAAGAGTATATATTAATTTTAATCTTGATATTTTTATCACCGAGAAATGTTTAAACAACTGACCCATTACATGTACAACACAGGGGTGGCGCCAGGACCTGCCCGACGGAGGGGCTAAAGGCCCCGACGGGGGGGCTAGTGGAGCGAATCGAGTCTCACTTGGCTGGGGGTCAGGGGGACCGTCTAGGGCCCCCGGTGGGGGTCCAGGGGGTCCAAGCCACAGATATTTGATGAATTATGGCGAATTTTTATTACTTATTTGATAGGCATCGAGTTACTATAATATGACTTCATGTAGGCTATGCTTTCTAATGTTGACATCAGCTTCCAAAACCGAAACATTTTGAATGCATTTTGAATAAAGTAAGAAACAAAGAGTATGCAATGTAACCATCTAATTTATTTTCAAATCCTCATTCTTGAAAGTGAAATTCTATATTTTGGAAATTTTGCATGAAATCTGTCAACCACGTTATCATGGTCGAGGTTGCTTCACCTATCACGATGTATTCCAACCATCATGAGGCTATCTAAATGAGCATTTGTCATAACAGAACGCAAATTATTTTTAATTAGTCTCATTGAATTATTATTATTATTAATAATAATAGTTGGATTTGTAGAGCGCATCATGCGAAAAAGCCTCTATGCGCTTGGTGATTGAGCTCTTTGAGTTGGACATTTTGAGAAAAAAGAAAGTTGAAG